ATATAACTCCCTCCTGGGGGAATGGACAACAGAAAGTGGGTGAAGGGAGACATCGGTCAGTGTAAACCATGAAAAAAAAAATAATTGATCAATTATCAAGGGTTCATGAGGAAGGGTGGGCAGGGGAGGGAGGGGAAAAATGAGGAGCTGATACTAAGGGCTCAAGTAGAAAGAATGTTTTGAGAATGATGATGGCAACATATGTACAAATGTGCTCGACACAATGGATGGATGGATGGATGGATGGATGGATTGTGATAAGAGCTGTACGAACCCCTAATAAAATAATTTTTTAAAAAAAGAACATGATCATATCAATAGATGGAGAAAAGACATTTAACAATATCCAACACCCATTTTTTAATAAAACACTCAACAACATAGTAATAGTAGGTAAATTCCTCCATATTTAAAAACCCAATGGCTAGCATCACGCTCAAAGGAGGAAAACTGAAAACATTTTTCTTGAAAACGGGAACAAAACAAGGATGCCCCCTTCCATCATTCTTATTCCATATCCTGCTGGGAGTGGTGGTCAGAACCACTAGACACAGAAAGAAGTCAAGGCAATACAACTGGGCAAAGAAAAGCGAAACTCCCACTATTGGCAGATGATATGATTTTATATAGAGAGATGCCAAAATTCAACAAAAAGATTGTTAGAAACAATAGAGGGATTTGGTAAAGTAGCGGGATACAAGATTGACAAGTATAACATTTTTTCAACAGTGTTTTAAATTCTAAACCACTGGCTAAATTAATGAGAATATTAATTGAATTACCTTTTGCTCCATGGGAATGATTTATAATGTTCTAAAATAAGATGATAACGGTGTCTCTAAAGTGAACTAGGGGCATATATAAACCATAGATATAAGAATAGATTTTGAGCTCACACTTAATTGTATTCCTAATCTAAGAACAAAGAACAATTAGTTGTTATGACAAGGCCCTGCTTGATACCTGCCCTGGGGAAGAGATCACTTAAAATATATGTGCTATAGCAAAGTGTGATGAGGAAATAAGATTGTGTCTGGCTATCTGAAAGAATAGCTTGTGAAGTCTGAAAGGCTTGTCTTAAAACAAACAGCCATCTAAGTGAGGCATTAGCACACAGAAGCACCTCAGTTGTGTGATCCCAGGATTATAAGTAATAAAATCCAAAATCCAGAGGAGTAACTGTATCAGAGCTTAAATTCTTTACACCTGGTTTGCAGAATGTCATGGATGGCAGTGGAAGCCCAAAATCCTTGTAGGGTCCCCACATGGATTAAGTCTCCAGTGAATTCCCTCTGATCACAGTCCAGAGATGTGAATAGCCTTGCTAATAGCCAGAGTGCCTTGTATAGTGGATTACTGCAAATATAGTTAGGTTAGATTAAAAAATAATACCTTATCATTTGATCTCACCTTCGACTCAGTTTTTATTAATTTTCTGCTTTCCTTTTGATTGAGGTTTTTCTGTCATGTCATTGTTGGTTTTTCTTTTGATTTTGTATGTTTTATGTATATGAAATGCAGGATATGTAAATCTATAAAGACAGTAAATGGATTAACAGTGTCCGAGGGGCCTGGCAGAGGAGGTTGGGGGGAAATGTGGAGCTAACAGCAATAAGTACAAGAAGAAAATGTTGTATATTTGATTGTGGCGATGACTGCACAGCTCTTCTTAATATGATTGAATGATTGAATTTTATCATATGTGAATTAGGTGGCAATAAAACTATTTTTTTTAAAAATGAACGCATAATGAATCCAAAAGATTTCTGGAGTCCTTGCCCATTTTGAATTGCCTGGCTCCAACATGTCCTCATACGCAAAAAACAAACAAGCAAAAGCACGAGAAGATCATGTGCTCTGGAATACTACAGAAATCATTAACTTCATTAAAAGCCATATTTTATTTGTATACTTATTTCATATACCTATACACCCAGAGTTGTGTCAAAATTTCTCAGGACAAAAGAGGCCATGCATGGAAAACATTTAAGAAGCCCTACTTTAGGGTGTTTCCCAGTTTTATCAGATACATACATGGGCTGGGGGTAATTTCCTATAACCTTCATCTAAGCCATATTAGACTTATTTGACTTACTACCCCTTTTCAGAAAAAATATTACTCAGCATTCCTCTAGCAATGAAAACTTATAGCCTATTTTCAGGGTAAAGTGTTGCTATCTGTTTCTGCAGCACTGCCTCCAGATTGTTCCAGTGCCCCACCCTCAGGGGCCTGTATTGCCTACTTTGGGAAGCACATCTAAGCTATGATGCTCTAGGAAGACTTACTGTATTTTGGACTTAAAGCATCTCCACACTAGGCGCATTATTTGTATATTCTATATGTCTATATGTTATATTTCCAAATAAGTACTTCTATAAATGCGAGGTCTCAGAAGCAACCTAGCATGACTGTATCATACGTTACTTCACAAATGTTACTCCTTGTCAGACAGATAAATTATCATGAGCACTAAATAAAATTTTTTTAATGTTTTGTGCTACTGAAACGAACACTGAAAAAATAAAGCAGCAGCAGCACCAGCTCAAAGGCGATTCGTATGCACCCCTCTCCTGTTTTAAAACTGTTTTGCTAAGGTCTATGATATTCAAAATTATTTTCTTAGAGGAAAAGCCTTTAGGATAAAGAACTACAATGCTTATGGATTTAATGGTTGCAAATGATAACATCTGATTTGAAACATGTAGCCATTTCCATTGGAATTATATGTCTTCAAACTAAAGCAGAATTATCGTACATACTCAAGTATAAGCCGACCCGAATATCAGCCAAGGCACCTAATTTTACCACAAAAACTGCATTAAAAATGTGCTGATAAACTCGGCTTATACACGATTATATACAGTATTTACTGTGAAGTATTAAAAACAAACAAACCAGGGAGACAATGGCACTGGGGGAGTAGGACACTAATCAATGCAGGGGGAGGGTATTGTTTTATGTCTCCACAGAAATGGGAGTGTGAGTGCAGACCCCACCTTGGCATGCCAAACCTTGAGGGCAACGTGACCACATGAAACAACTCATGAACAGAGAGGGCTACAGGGCCAGCCCCAATCAGAGCCAACCTGACCTCCCCTCTAGAAATATGTGCTACAGAGAACAACACCAAACCTACAGGTTGGGGAGAGGGGCTGGCCTGCCATACCCATACATAAGCAAACCAATAAGAAGGAGAACTAGACCCCATACTGGCACACTAAGCCCTGAGACTGATGGCCCTGCATGGAGCTGCTAAGGCAAAGAGAGGACTGTAGGGCCCACAACTCAAGACATGATGTCCCCAACCTGGAGCATACCACAATAGAGGACAATACTGGGGACAGATGGCAGGGAGTGAGTCTGGTCTGATCACCCCCACAATGGGGCGAACCAAGAAGGGAACATAACAGATCAGCAATGGCAGCAAAGCCAAGCCACAAAACCCAAGGCAACTCCCAGAACACCCCAGGACCAGTGGGGAGGTAGTCATGAAAGTCAGTGGACAGACTTGGAATTATGTATGATTTTTTGCTAGTTTTTCTTTTTTTGTTGTTCTTTCTCTTTTTATTCAGTCCTTTGTTTTCTTCATATTTTGCCTCTGTTGTTGTTTTGCCTATCAACACAAGGTAGGCAGGGAAGCACACCAGAGGAGAAAGCAACTGATTGCTGGTTCCGCAGGGACCTGTGGGGAGGAGGAGGTGGGGGAAAGGAGCAGGGCGCAAACAACACCATAGACAGGGGAACAACCAGGGAATAAAAAAACGAGGAGGACGTAGAGATCCTGGTGGTGTTGGAGCAACAGCAACCTAGCTGAGAGGAATTACTAAGAGCCAGAAGAAGGGAGTGTGATCGTGGGGCAGGCGGAAGGCAAAAGGAAACAGAGGAAAGATTTAGGGAGCAAAGCCATGGACAGAGGTACAAATATAGGTGTGTACATATGTAAATATACTAATTCATAAAAATAGAGGTATTGGCATATGTGCATATATTTATATGGCAATACGCTGAGGATGTAGATAGACTTTGGGCCTCTGCTCAAGCCCTCCCTCAATGCAAGAACACTTTGTTCTAATAACCAGGCATTCTGTGATAATCATCCTTCCTGCACGATCGCTGAGGACAAAATGGGTGCATAAGCAAATGTGGTGAAGAAAGCTGATAGTACCTGGCTATCAAAAGATATAGCGTCTGGGGTCTTAAAGGCTTGAAGTTAAACAGGCGGCCATCTATCAGAGAAGCAACAAACCCACATGGAAGAAGCACACCAGCCTGTGCTATCATGAAGTGTTGACAGAATCAGGTAACAGGTACCAAAAGACCCAAAACAAACAAAAGAATATTGTTGAGAATGAAGGGGTCAGAGCAGTGACACCAAACCCATCTGTAGACAATGGGACATCCCCTCACAGAAGGGTCACAAGGAAGGGATGAGTCAACCAGGGTGCAGTATAACACCAGTGAAACACGCAATGCTCCTCTGGTTCCTTGAGGTCCTCTACAAATCACTGGAGAGCTAGCAAAAGTTCAGTCTTCTTTCAGGGGTTGCATCCCAGCACCTCCAAAAGGTAAATACAGTAACATGCACTTTTCCTCAACTTGAATAGTTTCTGCTAAAAATAGAAAAGCAGTTCACATAACCTACTTGTTGCTACTGTTGCATGCTATACAGTTGATCCCACCTTATGGTGACCTCATAGGATGGAGTAGGCATGCCCCACAGGGTTGCCTCGGCCATAATTTTTATGGGAGGAACTGCCACACCTGTTTCCTGTGGCACACTGGTATGTTCAAACCACTGACCTTCTGGTTAGCGGTTGAATGCTCAAGCATAGCGCTACCAGGACTCCTTAAATAAATGATCCTCGTGTGTGTGTGTGTGTACTTCTGACCTTAGATACTTATTTTATATATCACACCTGAATTCTCAAACCTGAGTGGGTCACTGTCACCACCACAAAAGCCTCACGCCTTCCCTCTCCCCACTGGAAGCTGATGCTACCTTTCCAGCAGATAAGAGGTCCCTTCGACAGCACGCCCTGGGAACTTCTGACCAGGTAGTACTTTAAGTGCTTCTGCTTCTTTGGCTGGGTGGTGAGCTTCAAGTTAATGTGGTTGGAAAATTCTGTGAAATACCGAAATCCTCTTTCTCCACAGCCAATACAGTTTCCAGAAAACCCTGAAATGACAAACACCGAAGTTACTTGTGACCTTGAATACAGAAATAATATTTTACAGATAAAAAATAAATATTCATTTCTAATTTCCCAAGTTCAAGGAAATTATTTAAAGGAAGGAATAAACCAACCCACTGCTACCACGTATATTCCAACTTATCATCAACCTGAACAGGGTTTCCAAGGCTGTAAGTCAGACTGTGGTTAGTAGTCCAATGTATGCTCAATAGTGCCATTCAAGGAAATAATTTTAAGGAAGAAACAAAAACGCATAAAAAAGAATTTTAGCAGTGATTTTATAATGATGGAAGACTGGAAATAATTTAAATTACATACCAATAGGGTAATGGTGTAAGAAATCAACTGGAAAGTATCATGTAATAGAATTTATATGGTTGGTCTTATGACAAGAAAAACTTTGATCCTAAGACCGTCCACTATGTCTTCTCTACGCACTCCCTTCCAGGGACTCTGCTGGTCTCTGGCATGATTTGTGCCGCAACTACCTTCCATGTGAATTTAGCTTGGAGGGGCCAATATATGATCTAATCTGGGACAGTCAGAGGCACTTTCCTGGAATTTTGAAGTAAACAAAGAGTCATTCTGCTACTATTAGATCCTGAACTTGTATAATTTTGTAAAACTGGAACCAAAGTTCGGGCTATGTCAGCCACATGCAGGATAAGGTGTGAGAGAAAACGCACTGGACAAACATGGAGATAAAGCTGGTCTGTAGAGAGGCAGGCAGAACATTGATAGAGCTGAGCAAATTAGGCGCATCACCAACTTTTCCAACTTATACGTCATTTGGCTATACTTTCTGATGTGCAGTTCCATGAGATTTTTAATTTCCTCAGACTCACTTTATTCAAGGTGGGTAGTATGAACAGCTTGCTTTCATCTACTAACCTCAAGGTTGGTGGTTCAAGTGCACCCAAAATACCACGGAAGAAAAATCTGGCAATCAGCAGCCATAAAGATTCTAGCCAAAATACCCCATGGAAGTTTTACCTAATTGCAGTGGGTCTTGCTTTTATTTCTTTAACTCTAATATATAAGCAATTCTTCTCTCAGACTAATAAAAAAAAATTAAACTTCCAGGGGCCAGTTTGGAGCAAGGGATAGACAAGGGAAAAGAAGAAATGGAGACTGTTGCAAAGATGTGAAATCATGTTGCACTTGATCAGAAATCAACTTTTTGTTCCCCCTTAATAGAAGAATAGGTAGGCAATAACAGAGTGAGTTCTTTTGGTTGTCTGATGAAAAACATAGGTGAACAAAGACACAAAAGTTAGAACTATGAAAGGATACTCCACATTGCATAAATATAGTTTCTCTACACACCAAGCCATTGCCATTGAGTGCACCGCAAATAACTGTGACCTTATATATGCTTTATGGGGCTGTAAATAACTGTGACCTTATATATGCTTTACAGGGCTGTAAATCTTTACAGAAGCAGATAGCCTCATTTTTCTCTCAGATGGATGGTGGATTTGAACAGCTGACTCCGCATAGCAGTTTAACCTTTATACTACAGTGCCACCAAGGCATCTTTTCTATACATGAGAGCTTCCAAAGTTTATGAAGAAGTGGAATGGAAAGATAATTGAATTTTTCCACAGACCTTTTGAAGTTCCCTGAGATAACTGAAAATAAATTCACTGACAAAATAGCATACTATTTTTTAAACCCCAGAGATATATAATAAAAGAAGATAAAGGCCATCCCAATCTCAGAATGCTGACAATTAATATGGAGCATTTATAAATGGATAATCTAATTTAATATTAATTCACCTATCATCTATATGCCAGACATGGTACAAAAAGTGGTGAATACTCATCACCTCTGGCCTATTACATAAAATTACTAACTTGTTACTGCCATTTTATAGAAGTATAAATATCAGTATAATTTTATAAATTACTTAAAATATGTTCACAGTTGGATTGCAGTTGAGATATTTTGATCATCTGCCTAACAGCTATTGGCAAACAACAAAGAAACATAATCCATCAAGTTCATCGAGTTTCTGAAGTCACCCATCCATCAATCTATCCATTTCCACAAATATTTGCACTCTGCTATGTGTCCCTGGGTGGCACAAACACTTAAACACTTGACTACTAATGTTTGGCAGTTGAACTCACAGGTGCCTCAGAATAAAGGCCTGATGGTTTGCTACAGAGCGCAGTTTCACCCTGACCCGGGGTTAGAAACGACTCTACAGTAGTTGGCGCCGGGCTCCATTTCTGGAGCCAGGGATTCAGCACTGAACAAAGCAGACAAAGCCTCTGCCCTCGTGGAGCTTATATTTTGGTGTGATGAACATCCCTGACCGGGAAGCTGATGGATCACATCCAAAACACAGCAAAAATGCTACAAGAATATTTCAGGAAAGTAATTGATGAGTTCCCCAGAAATTAGGTACAGAGAAGATTACTGTGAGAATTAGAATGAAGAAATTAATAAGGTTGAGTTTTATCTTTTCCTCTGCTGACACTTTGAGGCCAAAAGCAAGAGTGTGGGGAAGGGGAGAAAAGCGATGGACCTGAATAATCTGTAAAGAAGTGAACCTTTACTTGGACAGTAAGCGTTAATGGAATCAAGGAGTTAGTTAATTTTTCAAATTCTGTGTGGCTTCAGCATTACCCTTGGTTCAAGAGAGATTCAATCTGCTCAGAGTTCAACATCAGTAACAAAATTAACACCTCTCAACAGCCAAATAACCTTTCTGGTTATTCTGGCAATCAAATAGTTCAGTTATATGGTAGATCTGGGGCACATGCATTGCCGACTAGGCAAGATTTAAAAAAATCAATTCCCCTACAATCTCTGGAGTCTGCAAAATTTACATTAAAATGTAGACAAATTGACATTGAAGTCCACAGAGATCCCAGAATATCTAAGACTTAAACATTTCCCCACTCTGTCTTAATGTTGATGAAGATCAAGGATTGTAGTCTTGATTGACAAGTGCAAAGTTGTGAGCATTCAACAGAGAACATGAATGGGCATCTCACCAAAGAATACATTCAAGTGGCCAACAAATATATATGCAGGAATGTTATCATTAGCCATCAGAAATGTGAATCAAAACAAGAGTGAGATTGTTGTTTCTCATTGTTGTTTCTCCCCCCAGCATTAATAGCTAAGTTCAAACAAACAGACACCAGATAAAAACAAATGCTGGTAAGGGTGTGGAGCGACTGAAACCCTCAAAATCGTGGAAATGGTAAGGAGCAGTTCTACTCTGTCGTAGAGAGTCACTCTCAGTTGCAATCAGCTTTATGAGAGTGGGGTTCCAGAAAGTAAACACGGTTCCAAGCCCATCAAGATATTTGATCAATACTTAATCAGAATAACTATGATTTAATGAGCAAGTAGTCGGTCCCTCAGCGGCCTAGTTTGTCCTCAGCTACTAACTGAAAGGTTGGTGCTTAAACCCACCCAGCAGCACAAGAACGACTTGGTGATCTGCTTCCACAAAAAAAGTCCTGCGGAGTTGCTGTGCTATGTAATACTTGGGGTTGTCATGAGCTGAATAGACTACGCCAAACAGGCTGGTTTGGTGTACTATGTGTCAGGCATTGTGCTGGATGGAGGCCTTATGCCTATCATCTCATTTGATCTTTACAAGCCTGCAGAGGAGATACTATGGGGGCCCTTTTATAGAAATGGGAAATCTGAGACACCAAGAGGTTAAATAGCTTGCCAAGTTCTTGAACATATAAACTAACAAATCTGAGATTTAAACCCAAGTCTGTCTGATCCCAAAGCCTATGGTCTTTAGTCCACATATTCTGGTCTATTTTGCATACGGAAACATATTATTCTGAGTGCGTTTTCTGTGTCCTTTTGATAATGTATCCCAAGATGATTCCTCTAGTTAAGAAGAATTATTAAGCAAAAAGGAATCATGAGAGAATTTTCTATCTCTGTAGTCAGCCTCACATTGGAATTGTCCCATTAGATGAGATCATGATGCCTTTATAATGCTGGGGATGCCGTCCCAAAGTCTTTGTTCCAAGGTCATTCTATCACAATCTAATACATTGTACGCTCTGACAGGGAAAGGACTGTGCCTTCATTTGTGAACCCCGCACCGTAACCTAGTACAATGTCTGCCTCACAGTACATTTTGGATAAATATTGCAGAATGAATGAATAAACAGATACTTGGTCCTTCTTTGCTAATTTAGCCCAATAGGTAAGTTTTATTACTAGGCTTCCATATTTTCAATTTCACTGAAAGGAAAGTATATATAGTCTTTTTTTTTTTTTAATTTAATTTTATTTTTTTAGGAAAATCTTATGAAGAATGAAAATGACTATTTATTTTCCTATACACCAGAAGAAAGGTTCAAACAGCAATTTAAGGAACCATAAACTGAAGTTCAAACAAAAAAAAAAGCCTCTGAATCAATACAACAATTGAATTCTTTCCTCTTCTCTATTTTTCCTTTTTACTGATATTTATGCCTAAAACATCAGACTGTCTATAGTAAGAGAAATTCTAAAAAACAAAAATAGCTCCAGAACAATTCAGAAGCCCCCCAAAAATTAGGGATAAAAAACAAAACCAAGAAGCTTCATATGTCCTCTTAATTATCTTTTTAATTTCATAATATAAAATCCACTCTTTGTTATTTCACATGATGTAGGAAAGCTATGTTGTGAAAAAGCCTAAATTCTTAATACCAGAAAGCTCACTACTTGGTTTTGAAATAAAGTTATAAGTTTTATGTCATATTTGTACTTTTAGTTATTTTGGGTATACTCATGCTAAATATGAGGATCACACTAGTCAAGAATAGATGGGAATGGATACTACAGAAAAACAGTACGTAACTTACTAAGTGAAGAGTCTACAGATGAATGACTAAGAGTTGACTTGACATCAGTGTCAGGCTTTAGAGAGAATAAGTTGTACTGTTTTAAAATATATATGTATATATTTTTACAAACTGTACACTATCCTCTAATGCTTAGTTTTAAAAAGTCTCTCAATTAAGACAAATATTTTGAGAATACATAAACCCATACCTATCAAGTATATTCCAACTCCTACCCTACTGGATACAGTAGAACTGCCCCATTGGGTGTCCAATGCTGCATATTTTTAGAGAGGCATCCTGCCACATCTTTCTCCCATGGTGCAGCTGGTGGGTTCAAGCCTTTGACCTCTCGGTTATCCATGGAATGCTTTAACCACCAGCATGCTTAGAATGAATAAAAATGGAAATTTAAAAATGTTTCTCGTTTGAACTAAATGACATAACCCCCAGCTAAGTCTGTGATCGTTTTTAAAACTCCGTGACAATGTCAAATAAACTACGATCTTACAGTCTCATTGTAGAAAGGGTGTTAGAGGTATGAAATACTCACCCAAAAGTGCATTTTTCCCATGATCATCTGGTAGGAATCGCTTGTCTACAGCACAAACTAGGATATGTTCGGGAAGGTTGGGAGATTTGGCTCCCACTAGCAGGAATCCTGCTGGGATATCTATTTGTTCCATACACAGCGATACCAAACGCAAATCCTTTCCTGCTTGACAAAAACCTAAAAACAGATAGAAAGGACATAGTGACATGATTGAATGGGAGGAAAACCTCAAATTCTCCAAAACAGAGACAACCAAAAGCCAGACCTACTAGACTGGCTGAGGCTGGAAGACTCCCTGAAACTACTGTCCTGAGATAATCTTTACATCTTGTACCAAAATTAACCATTGAGGCCACTTTGTAACTAAATAACAAATTAGCTAAAAAAAATAATGAATATCATGCTTAAGAACTGTGTTTCTTTTAGAAATCACTTATATGAGACCAAACTTCCAACAGTTACTTTGAAAGATGATAATGCAAGAGGCAGGTAAACTAGATAAATGTACATGGAACAACCAGAATGAAAATAATGAGGCTGTTCACAAACTGAACAATGTAACCAGTTGCTGAAGAATTTCTGTAGAAATAGTTGATTAGGAATATAAACGTCTCAATAAACCAAAATAAAAGACATTAATTTTACTTTTTTCTAAAAAATACAAACATCTCACAGCTATAGAGTTGTTTCTGACTCATGGCTACCCTATAGGACAGAGGAGAATTGCTCCTGTGGATTTCTGAGGCTGTGCATCTTTACGGGAGTAGGAAGGCTCATCTTTTCCCAAGAAGCAGCCAGTGGTTTCAAGTTGCTGATGTTGTAAATCACAGCCCAATACATAACTACTAGGCCACCAGGGCTCATTATTATTATTTTATTTTTTCCTTCTAATGGACACAGTGAAATGTTGTCCCAGCCCCATTTGCTAGCAAGTCAATCCAACTCATGGTAACCTTATGTGTATGGGAGTAGAACTACTCTCCATAAGAATTTCAATGGCTGAATTTTCAGAAAACGATCACCAGACTTTTCTTCCCTTACCAATTACTTTTTTATTGGGAATTGGAGGGCAGAGTTTACATTTCAGACTATCAACTCTTAGAAAGACAACCAAGTTTTTCTTCTGAAGTGCCTCTGGGTAGATTTGAACTTCCAACCTTTTAGTTAGTCAGACCACACATGTTAACTGTTGCACCACTCAGGTACCCTAGAAATATTTAAACCCCTTTTGGAGATTAAATTTAAAGTCCATGTATTCCAAGCAGAGAACAAATCTATCAAATACGTTCCTCTGAGTGGAAAAGACACTCAGCTCAGGTCACAGCCATTGAGTCAATTCTGGCTCTTGGTGACTCTAGAGGACAGGGCAGAACTGCCCCACTGGGCTTTTGAGATTGTAACTCTTTCTGGGAGTAGAAAACCTCCTTTTTCTTCCCCTGAGTGGCTGGTGGTTTCAAACCACTGACCTGTCGTTAGCAGCTCAGTGTGTAACCCACTATTCCACCAAGGCTGAGAAAAAGACACTGGAAGGAGATATTTGCATCTATTCCTCCAACATTGATGACTTTTATTTATTGTTTGGCCCATAGGAAAGGAAATGATTAAACACACACACATATACCAGCAAACTTTAAAAAGAACACTTATTTCAATGCACATGCAAGACAGCAATTTTTGTAAATTAAATTTTCTAAATGGGGAAACTCATGAAGATATGGTCTTCATTTTGCACAGGAAGACACACTAAAACTACTGAATTTATTGACTCAGACATGACTAGTTAAGAACTGTCAGATCATTTCCACACAGTATCACCATGTCAAAATAACAAAACACCACTTTGTGTCAGAGGACGTATTACATTGACTCATGATGTATTCATGCAACATTTGCAACAGATGCTGTCCCAGGCAGAGATTTGCCTCTAAGAACTTATGCTGAGTCTACTGTTGAAATGATAAGGACCCGATAAACCACAGAACAATGCGAATGAGGAAAAGCTATTGTTCTGATGCAGAACACCCTTTTGGGAAATGACTCTCCCTTCACTCTATTGGGTCCTTGGGTAGTGCAAATGGTTAACACACTTGGCTGGTAAACAAAAAGTTGGTGACTTGAGTTCCACAGGCACCTCAAAGGAAAAGCTATGACTACTTCTGAAAAGCCAGTCATTGCAATCCCTGCAGAGCATAGTACTACTCTGATACACCTGAGCTCAGTCTGAATCAGTTCGCTCTAAAAAACTGCGTTTGTTTGCACTCTTACCATGCGGTTATTACCCCCATCCTACCCCACCCCCCAGCCCCAGTGATATTCCAGATTTATTTAAACACTGAAATCTGATTCATACTAGACCATTTTAATGCACCTTTCTAAGCACAATTGTCTAAGGGTGTGGGCACCTGACATAGCAAGCATTTTCCCTGGGAATTCCAAATACGGACTCAGGAAGAACATGGCTCAGTTCACCCTGTTGTTGGTAAGCATGTTCCTTGTATGTGAGAGCAGCTTGTCAGCAGAGACAGGAGGAAGAGTGTTTGGGTGATGTTTGAATCCCTAAAGCCTGACTTTGCTGTGCTTTTGTCATTATGCCTTTTATTTAAAATTCTTCCAATAATTTCTAAATTTGGCCTAAGCTATTTTGAGTTGGGTTTTTGTCACGTGCAAACAAGAGAAACTGACTAGAAATATGCTAAATGGTATTTCAGGGAGTTTCAAGAATAGTACTACGTTTCCCCGAAAATAAGACCTACTTAATTTTGCCTCTTGCTGAAATATAAGGCATCCCCCGAAAATAAGGCCTCCCCGATAATAAGCCCCCCCAAGCTACTGTAACTCTGGACTGTAGAGGCGGACGCCGCCATGCAGCTCACTGTTGGCCGCAACACAGCCAGAGCAGACAGGAAGTGCGAGTAATGTACCATGGATTATGAGTAAATGTACCATAAATTGTTATACATGGAAATAATGGTAGTAACAAGAAATTCTTGATACTGTAGGATTCACAGTTTGTCTGGTTATGCTGGTTTGTGATGACAACTACTACCGTACCGTATACATGTAATACATTTCTTTTGTGTGTGTGTGTTCAACAATAAATGTGTACCGTATTCTTCTTCATGGAAAAATAAGATATCTCCTGAAAATAAGACCTAGCGCATCTTTGGGAGCAAAAATTAATATAAGACACAGGAGAAACAGGGTAGAGAAGTGGGTGAGGGGTGGGAAGAGCCACAATGTACCACACACAAACCTGAGACCATATTCATCACTACCCAAGAAAGTAAGGAGACCCAGGCTAGATTTTTCTAAAAGCATCAATTCATGATTTTAAACCAGTGTCAATAAATAGTTGAATGCCACCAGCTAATACACAAGAAACAGAAAACATAATAAAGAACATTAGATGAGCTATTGGTGCATATAACTCTATTATATGGTTTGGATCATCAAATTTCAAAAGCAGATCTAATGAAATTGGGAAAAGACAACATAAGCAAGATAAATAAATATTAAGACCCTGGGTCTCTATTGACATAGTGATTAAAAAGTCCTGGTGTCACAGTGGTTAAAGCACTTAGCTACTAATCAAAAGTTTGGTGGTTTTAACCAAGGAGGGAATGATGAGGCTGTTTCCTTGAGTTACAGCCTCAGTAACCCAGTGGAGCAGTTCTACTCTGCCCCATGGAATCATTATAAGCCAGAATCAACTTGGTGGCAGCGGGTTTAGTTTTTAGACCTCAATCATTTCAAGCTTGTACATAAAACTTTAACAAAAAATATAACTTTTCTTATTTACAAATTTTAAAAAATGGAAAAGTTTTAAATGCGCACCTTAACAATTTTAAATGAATCTACTTTTTATTTATTACCCACATTTATTTGAAAATTTGTCATTTATTTGCGTGGGACATCTTACTTCAGTTCACAAACTTTTTTTGAGTCTATGGATACCCCTTTTGGTGCAGTGGGTTAAGTGTTGGGATAATAATCTCAAACTCAGCAATTCAAACCCATAAATCAATCCAAATGGAGCCCTGGTGGTGGAGTGGTTAAGCATTGGTCTGTGATCCCATGGCCTGCAGTTCAAAACCACCAGCAGCTCCACCGGAAAAAGACTGGGCTTCCTACTCCCATAACAGTTGGACTCTTGGAAACACAAGGGGTGGATATGAGTCAGCAAAGACTCCATGGCAGAGACTGAGAGTCAATCCAAAGGAAAAGATGAGGCTATATGTTTCCATAAAGATTTACAGTCTTAAAAAAAAAGATTTACAGTCTTGGAAATTCTATGAAGCAGTTCTACTATGTCCTACAGGTCACCATGAGTCAGAATCCACTTGACAGTAGATCTGGTGTTTGGGGTTTATGGGCACATGGAAAAAAGTTCTACTGCCCCCACCTCCATTAAAGGACTCAACCTACCAAAAGATCACTGTGAGTTGGAACCAACTCTATGGCATTTAATAGCTAAAAAGAAATGTTAATAAGGATGAAGAGGCTTCTACTTTAAGTCCAGAGACCTGGTTCAAGTTCCACCATTTCTGATTGCTGATATTTGACCTTGGGCCATTTTCCTAACATTTCTGTGCCCCAGCTTCCTTATATCCATACTCCAAAAACTCCAGTTGAGTGAGCTTGATTCACTTAGCTGAATCCTGTATCACTGTCGTTTTGATTATTATAAAATTTTCCATTGTTTTCATTAGACACATGTAGTGATATGCTGCTTAATTTACATTCTTAACCGGTTGTTGTTTAAAGATAAGCACTTCAGGGAACACTACATTCTGGAACGCAAAAATAGTAATTATACAAATACCTAAAGCTGCTTTTTGCTATGTATAAAAGTTAGATGCATTCCCTACCTCCACTCATTCAGTGCTTGCCGACCCCATTGTCAACCTCACAGCCTTTACTATGTTTGAACCCATTCTTCCAGCCACCTTGTCAATCCATCTAATAGAGGGTCGTTCACTTTTCTGCTATTCTCTCTGCTCTACCAAGCATGATGTCTCTCACCCAGAGACTCACTTACTGCCATCCAGACAATTCTGACTTAATAGTATGCCCACAGGACAGACGCTAACTGCTCCTTTGGGGTTTCTGAGACTAACTCTTTATAGGAATAGAATGTCTCATCATCTTTTTCCTGAGGAGCAGCTGGTGGCTTCAAA